TATAATATAATGATAATAATATAATTTCGTAAAATATTTCTTTGAAGAATTGAAAAAAAGCAGTCAATAACAATAATCAAAAATAGAATTATACTTATATGTATCGTGACGATACATATGTTAGATATAGTAAATTTAAATAGAACATTAATAATAGTTAAAACGCTTAAAAAACGCTTACTAATTCCATAACAATAAGTAATGGATCACGTTCGACGCATACGCCATACATACGAATAACGTTTGGATGCTCATAATTACGCATTAGACGTGCTTCCTTCATCATTTCCTTTATTTTTTCCTTTGATGTTTCTGCTGTTTTAGCCTAAAAATTTTATGCCTTACATTTTGTATTTTATTTATTGTAAAATATCAAAACTATCTTTGATGGAAAAATTGAAAATGGGAAAATTTAATTTCATCAAATTTTTTTTCAAACGAAATTTTAATTAATTAATTGATAAATTTAATTGAATAATTGATAAACCAATTAATAATTGATAAAATAAACCAATTTAATTGCCACATCAATCATACGTCCGGTTGGAAGTTTGTATTTACCAGAAAATACTTCACCAAATTCACCTTCACCAATTTTATTTTCAATAATAACAGTTTCATGTCGTAATTCCCATGGTGCACGAGTTATTGCACGTTTCAAAATTGAATTTGGCACCTAATAAAATTTCATTCACTACAAAAAATTAAGCAATCAAAAAATTGATGAATTTCAAATTTAAAATAAGATAAAATTAAATTACAATTTTTCTTCTAATACTTCGAACAAAAATTTAATTAATGATAATAAGATATCCTAATGAGATATTCTGTAAATTTGATTTGCTATTATATGAAAAAATTTTTAGGAGAAATTGATGAACATATTCAAGTAATTTAAAATTAAATTTTATTTCATTGCTAATGATATATTGATTTCAAGTGGAATATTTGAAGATATTTAGCTTAATAGAGCTTATCAACAGCTTATCATTAAACTTAATATTAAGCCGATATTTGCTAATGTGTTGTCAGTAAATTGTCGAAAAAAATTTACCTAAAATTATTCATCAAATAATTTTCACCCTCATTTAAACAATAGTTTCAACTTAATAAGAAAAGGCTTTTAAAATGAAAGAGCATTTAATGATTTATAATTTTCAACGAATACAGCCTAAATAGGAATTAAATTCCAATTCAAGTTGTAAAGTTTGTAATAATTCTAATTTAAGAGAAGGCAATAATAGAAGTATCGAATATAAATAATAGTAGTATTAGATAATTTAAATTAATTTTGAAGCAAGTATTTCATACTCATAGTACCATCAGATACAAATAATAGTAGTATTGAATAGTTTAAATTAATAGTACCATCAGATACAAATAATAGTAGTATTGAATAATTTAAATTAATAGTACCATGAGGTACAAATAATAGTAGTATTGAATAATTTAAATTAATAGTACCATGAGGTACAAATAATAGTAGTATTGAATAATTTAAATTAATAGTACCATGAGGTACAAATAGTAGTAGTATTGAATAATTTAAATTAATAGTACCATGAGGTACAAATAATAGTAGTATTGAATAATTTAAATTAATAGTACCATGAGGTACAAATAGTAGTAGTATTGAATAATTTAAATTAATAGTACCATCAATTACAAATAACAGTAGTATTGAATAATTTAAATTAATGGTACCATGAGGTACAAATAATAGTAGTATTGAATAATTTAAATTAATGGTACCATGAGGTACAAATAATAGTAGTATTGAATAATTTAAATTAATAGTACCATCAGATACAAATAATATTAGTATTAGATAATTTAAATTAATAGTACGATCAGATACAATTAATAGTAGTATTAGATAATTTAAATTAATTTTGATGCAAATCTTTCAAATTCAATCAGATAAATTGCCGAGTGATACATTAATTGCTATTTATAGGAATGCAAGTAATAAATGAGCCTACCGTATTGAGAATTGGTTCACCGTAGTTTAGATAGAACTGTATGAGATCGGTTACAGAATCAAAACTTGCATTAGCATTAGTCAAAAATTTCCCGTAAGCATTTTGTTGCACCACTATATGTCTTACCTAAAATTTCAAAATAATATTTCAATAATTGAATTTTCATCGTTCTTTTCTTTTTCCACGATCTTTTGCTTAAAGCAGTTGTTTTCTTTTCTTCACAGTTATTTATCTTATAATTATTGATTAGGGATTTTGATTTTATTTAGGCAAGAAATTTTCTTATCAGTTCTTCTTATCAATTTTCAAATTCAAAATATATGAAAATTATCAATTCCCTATTTTAAAATATATGAAAATTATCAATTCTCAAATTTAAAGTACATGAAAATTATCATTTCTTATCAATTCTTCTTATCAATTCTGAAATTTAAAATATATCAAAAGTTTCGTAAGTAATTTTTTGATAGTAAAAATTTTATTTCATAAGCAGAACTATAAAATATAAAATTGGAATTATAGTAATATGATTTAAATACTCTCCTTTCTTTTAATCAGTGATAATATAATATGAAAATTTTTACAAATAAATTATCAATACGTTATCAATATTCTTTTGTTCTTAATCAGTGATAATATGATGTGATTTAAATATTCTATTGTTCTTAATCAGTGAAAATGTGATACGATTTAAATATTCTTTTGTTCTCAATTAGTGATAATATGATGTGATTTAAATATTCTTCCGTTTTTAATCAGTGATAATATAATATGATCACATACACACACACATACACACACATGAAGTAAACTCCTTATCAAATTTACTAGCTATGAGTTTGATCAAATTTCTTCAGATTTTAAACCTATCATTTTAACAGATAAATTTGAATTTATAAATAGGAGAAATGGTGAAAAGGAGGAAAAAGATTTATCGATCACAAATGTCAATTATTTTTTTATCATCACTTAAATAAGTAATTAATTTCCAATGAAATATCTCGATTTATACACTTTAGAGTTTGTAATCTGCTTACATTTCCACTTGCTTTACCCACAAAAACAGAAATAATGATTTGTCGTGGTTGATTCGGTGCTGTTTCACTTGTTCGTACCAAGAAATCACCTTCATTGACAAGCAAATGTGGTATATCTTCACGCGGTAATAAACCGTGATAATAACTTTCTTCCTCCAAATTTTTACCGCCCATTGTTGTATTCATAAAATTTGTCACATATAATACCCAAATTTTGCTATCAAATATCTTATCTAGCTATTCATTCCTAATAACTCATTGAAAGTTTCATCCATATCATCCCAATCCCAAATCCTAATCATAATTTGTTAAAACAAGAACGAAGATCGAGAGTTTCAAATCATATCTTCTCCATATTTAATTATCAAAAGATTGTGAAGCATATATTCAACATTAAATAACATTCATAAGTTTTTTGGGTTCGATTAATTTTCAGTAATTTATAACATTTCAAAACTGAAATTTCTTAGACGATTGCATTTTTTTAACCATGTATTTCAAATTTATAGCACAATTTCATAACTACCTATTATATTTTCGAAAAATTTGAAACCCAACAATTTATGAACCGACGTATCGTAACTTCCATATAAAGAAAATGAATGATTGAGGATATTTCATTGTTCTTTAAATACCATTTATTTTTAAGAGCAAAATTGCATAAATACGCAAATTTATATCTATAAATAAACGAATTAAAAATTAAATTAGAGGATCTAATTTTCATGATATGGTTTTTGAATGTTTTCAGGCTTCAGAATACAATTTTCACGATGTGGTTTTGAGCAGCTTTATTCTTGCTTTGATACATGTCAATAAATCACATTTCACTATTTAGTATTTATTTTAAAAGCTTCCAGAAAACCCTGCAAACTTGTATCTTTACGTGTCGGTGTTTGACTAGATAAGAGAAGTTGCAATTTTGATGCCATCTTTCGTCGACGTGCGGAGGATGAAATTTTCTTTTCTGCTATTCTGAAATAGGAGTACCTCCAGATATGATTATTAAGAGTTATGGTTGAAAATAAAATCTTAAACAGAATCCGTTTAGCTAAACAAAATGTGAAAGAAAGCAAACTCTGTAGTGCTAGCTTAAGTAAGTTAGAGTGATGTACAATCATCTTGCATGACATAATGAATGAGTTTTCGAAGTGATTAACAGAGCTTTACTGCAGAAAAGTATATCTGATTACTGACTACATATTAAAAAACATTTCATTCAATACGACAGTACATTACTATTGATGAACATTCTATACTGATGACTATCCAAAAATGACTTTTCTTGGTTTCGATCAGAGCAAAAAAAAGTTCTCCTGATCTAAATCAGAAAGATCATCCTTATTCATCCATAATATTTGATCACTATTGCAGTCTTGTGAAAACAATGACATTTGTGATGAGTAAACACTTTTATTACACTTGCCTGCTCAAACATTTTTCGCAGAATAATTGTTCTCATCCATTTGAAATTTCTAATGTCTTTACAAAAGATGATTCATGAATCGTATGATTGCATCATATCATAAAAATTCTATTAGTATTTTACACTGCGAATACCCTGTTCAGTAAAAGAACAGTCACACAAAATTTTGGATTTGCATTTAATTTTAACGATCATTCCTTGTTCATTTGCTAATATTGTAACAATCTTTTGTAATCAACTACACTTTTTATGTTTTATTACTGTGCTTTTTTCATAATGCAATATTGATACTTCGATGAAAACATATTTGTTTCCCAAAGAATTAGAGACAGTTAAAACGATAGACTGAAAAGATAAAACTAACTGGCTGGAAATTGGAGTTCTTGGCAGTGAAGTTTCCGGGGTAGAAAAGGTAGACTGTCCTGAAAATCCTCGTGATTCTCGTCTCAAACGTTGATCAAAAGATGTTTGCATACCTTGTTTCTCGTAATCCACAGTTGCCAACGCACCACCTTTCATTTCAGCCCCACATCCTTTACAAACCGCTATCAGGTGAGTAGGCCTAAATCAATAAACACTCGAAAGTACAAAGAACTCATTTGTTTGATGTAAATTTAAATCAGTTTTGCAATCACATATGATCTAGTAATAAAAATAACAAACAGTAATGCCAGCAGGATTAATTTTTTGAAACTTTTCCGCGGGCAAATGCTACACAAGTTGCGCAAACGCAAATGCTTCGGAAATCAAAAACTATTTGAAATGCTTGCTATCAAAATGATCACTTAATAATTGTTTTTGAGTAATTGAAAAGCTTTAACGAGCATACAAAAGCAGAAGTACTGCACTGAAATATAAAAGAAATTGTTGCAAATGAGGACAATAACAACTACATTGAGCTTTATAGAAGAAAAAGATCGAATAAGAGAATTCAATTCAGATCTTTCTATTGACGCTTTGCAATGCAAAAAATTTTTAACCTTCTATATCCTTTCCACTTGTTTTTTTTCATTCTTCTTTTACGTACTGACAGTCTGAATGAAACGGTCTTTGTAGAAGTCAAATCCAAATTACATCGGAAGCAATGACAAAGTTTTGTCTTTGCTTCGAGTCCCAAATCCTACAAACCAATCACATCATCACCGAGATATCATTCCATTTCATTAATGATAAAGTGAGTTAAAAAAAAAAATAAGGAACGGATAAAACCGTTACTTTTAATAACTGTGATGCATTTCTTGTCATTTCGGCTGCAAATGGTACTGGAATACCAAGTTCGATGCACTTTTCAGCATATTTTTTGAAATGATGTACCGCTCGATAGGCATACCTCCCACACTTGCCAGTTGTTTTCATCACATCACTTCTTTCCATTTCTGATAATATCAAACAAATGGCTAAATTATGCCCTGCTTAAAGGATTCATTACTTCCTCTATGATAAAGATATCAGGATGCGACTTAAAACTTAAGTCAATAGAACATGCCTACTTATGGCAGCAGAACCAAATCTTCTAGAATGAACCCTTAACCATGAATTTCTTTTATCAATAACTTATGAACCATTAGCACATTACAGATGTTAATGTTTAGCAATATCCTGCTTGCCAACAATTGGAGGTATAGTACCAGAGTTCCTCTGCTTTTGTATTTGCATCATGACTAGTTGTCCGTTCGATAAATGTACAACTTACAACCCCGCATTTAATAAGCAACACTTTTTAGCAACTCCAGTCCTTTGTTTCCTCAACGATGTTGTGATTGTAAGAGTGATAAATCAAGACCAAATAACTGGGGGTCCCAGACCTTTCCGTAACGTCCTCAACAAATTCAAATATACAGAACACCAAACGAAAATCCAACAACAAGGTTTATTCAACCGATCAAAAAAAGAACATGCTGACAATACTGATTAATAGACGTCCCACAAACCGGTAATGACAAATAAAAGCCAAGTTTTCGATAATGAAAAAGGCCGTTCCCACTAAGTATTCAATGAAGAACTTTTCAGTTATCAAAGATATAAAAAGTCAAGTTTTTGGAAGATAAACGAAATAAGCCGGCCTTAGTTCACAATGAAGACATGTTCGAATAGTTCATAAGAAAACAGTTCATGATGAAACAATCACGAAAAAATAAACTTGAAAATCAAAAGCAAAAATTGGATAAAAACAGCTATCGAAAAAGAGTAACTTTAAAAGTAATTATTTTCCGCTGTTTTTGACCATTTTGGGTAAAAGTGATGATTTTAGGGAGAAATAGGTAAAGTGGAAACTAAAAGGGAGAGATATCAAACGGAAGATTGCAAAATCACAATAACTCATATTTGGAAACGATTCATAAGAAGCAAATTGTTCATTAGATTTGTCCATATTCTTTTTTACAGGAAATATCGAAAAAAGAAAAAGAGAAAAAGCAGGAAAAAATCAAAAATGTGAAGGTAAATATCCCGTTGAAAGTACATTTTTAAAATGCTTTGACAGATCTTAAAACTTCGTTAAAAAAATTGAACGTAAGCCCATTAAACAGATGGTCAATTTATAACTGCTTAAAAATTTTACACGAAGCCCCGCAGTAACTACAGAGTCATCTAGATCCTATGAATTCCAACCGCTACAAATAAAAGACATCGCAATAAAAAGAATATCAATGAGCATAAAATGGGGATTTTGACTGAGGAAAACGATAATATACCTGAGTGGGGCAGGGTATGATGTCAGAGATACTAAATAATCTTTAAGAAAAGTTGAAGTTGAAAAGTTGAGAAAAAAGCGATTAAATCGATGGTTTCTTCTTTCAAGGATTCTGACCCTTCGAAGATGCCAACACCGATGCTGCTTCTGAAACTTTCGACTGCAACAATTCTTCGTTCTCGAGCATCATCAGCAACTCCGAGTTGTCCATTTCAAGCATCATCCCAGTTATTTTCCCAACATCAGGGCCTTGATAGATGCGCTCAATAAGCGGATAAATACGCTCACCAAGCATTTGCTTTTGTTCCTGTAAGTGGGCTTATGACTTTTTCATAAATAGGATGACTTGAAAAGGAAACTCTTCCATTCCAAAAAAAGCACTAGTCGAAAATCCATACAATACGATCATAATCCTGAGACTATCATGTCTAATTTGAAATTTCATCAATTCTGAATTCAATTTAGTACTAGAAGGGTGGTAAAATCAAACCTGTGGAAGAGCCTGTGCAAGCATGTGAGCAGTCAACGGTTCTTGACCCTGGATGACGATGCTGTTCTGCTGCGACTGTACCTGACCTGGACGCCCAGTTATGGCACTGTACGATGAATACATCATTTGTCCCTGGCCAGGTTTTCCCGGTTGCGCTTGTCGTCCTCCCTAAAGGATATCTAAGTAATCTACAATCAAGTAAATGCAAAGAATTAACATTAATTCTACAAATAACAAAATACAAAGAATTAATTGAATGTTCAAACGGATATTAATAAAACGCACCATCTGCTGAGAGCGTGCACCTTGATTTTGAACCATAGCACCACCGGCAGCCATTCGTTGAGTCTGCGGACCTCCACGCGTAACACCAGCCTGTCCTGGTCCATATTGACCCTGCTGAGCTCGCATAGCCACTGCAGCAGAGGAAGCTGCTGGACGAGTACCGCCTCTGCCGACCTGCCCATATCCGCCACCCTGGACCATGTATGGCGATTGCACACCTAAGAACAGACTAATAATGACCTGTATAATACTAATCTATATAACATGCTGGATGATCATACTCGACTTCACAGCACTAGCAGTAAATCATCACCAGTGTGCTCTTTTTGTGATACTATTGATCCTCTATCACAAAAGACAAAATTGATGACGAAATAACCAAACCAACAGCAATTATTTTACGATGACAGAAAGAGACACATGGACCTGCTCTTCAGCAAAGAAGTTCTTCGCACCACGTTTGAAGAGGCCGAAGCTAAACAAGACTTGTTATATTGTGCTATCATTTAATATCAAAAATATACCAAATCCAGCAGCTGCGCCGATCGTATTCCATCTTGGTGTTGTTCCACGCATTTGAGCACCGGGAATAGTTGCAGTTGGCATAAAAGCTCGTTGGTTCTGCAACGTCGATGAAACGAAAAATCCGCCGGTACCCGGTGTGTAAACGGTCCCAGGCATGCTGCCAGCATTATGCATACGAATTGATGCAAGACGTTGCATATATTGTGATGCCAACTGTGCTTTACGATCTTCCTTGCGTTGTGCCAAAGCAACATACAAAGGCTTCGTACACATCATCTTGCCGTTCATCTCAGTGACAGCCTAAGAAAAAAATACAATCACAGAGAATAAAAACAATGTAAATAAACAAATAATGTGTTTCAGCAATTACGAAATTATATGCATTACAACGATAATACAAGATATTCTGCACAGAATCATAATTTTACGAATGATACCTTTGTCGCTTCATCCGGTTTTTCAAAGCAAACAAAACCGAATCCCTTAGAACGTCCATTATCATCGCACATAACCTTAGCCGACGTGATCTTTCCATAAGCTTCGAAATTTTGCTTTAAAATATCGTCGTTTACTGTATCATCCAAGTTTTTCACATACAAATTGACTCCCTGATAACGCTGCATACGTTCAACCTTTTGCTGTTCGTAGCGGCGTTTCAATTCTGCAGAGCGTTCATTTTTCTTCTGTGCGCGGCATACATACAGTTTACGTTCTGTTCCCGGAAGTTCATATTCGTGCATCTCTGTTACAGCCTGCAAATTTAAGAAGACAGTAGCAGTGATTACTAGATTTGCCATCCTGATTCTAGATTACCTTTTCAGCATCTTCCGGGTTTTCGAATGCAACGAAACCAAAACCCTTCGACTTGCCATCGGCATCCACCATAACAGCCGCGCTGGTTATCTTCCCAAATTTGGAAAACAATTTTTCCAATGAATCTTTATCCAGTTCATCTGCGAAATTTTTTATGTAAACATTGGTAAAACGACGAGCTGTTTCGCCCATTTCACGCAGACGTGCCGTACGTGGTTGGAATTTGCCCACATACCTAAAAATGACTTTTGTGCAAAAAGAAAGGAATGTATCACAGCTCGTACATTTTGATCAAGGCGAACACAACTGCTGCCTTCTTTCCACAAACAAAGAATAAAATATTGGAAACGTACACTTTTTTTCCTTCCAGAAGCATTCCATTCACTTTTTCAATTGCTTTCTGAGCACTTTCTTCAGTTTCGAAGTGAACAAAACCATATCCTTTGCTGTTTGACTCCTCATCATTAGCAACCTACAAATACCATAACAACTGCAATGAAAAATGTCTTTAAATTCAAGGATAGCCATCTTTGACCCTGACCCAATCGGTGATGACTATTAATACGTGCCACACCTATTCCTGTTCAAAGTGTGATGCTAGAGACACGTCGGTAAATAGTAAATTATGGAATATCCTTGACAAACGAACTTTGCAACTCAAGATATTCCCAAACATCGAGAATGTATCGTAAATAGCCTTGTTATCGATACTTTTGTCTAGGTTCTTGATAAAAATATTGCCAGCACCCGACCGACGCATTGACGGATCACGCTGTGACCACATAATGCGAATAGGCTTGCCATACATCATATCAAAGTTCATCGTATCCAAGGCTCTCTCCGCTATAAATAAAAATCAATGTGAAAAGGAATTATAAAAACGAAACCAGTCATAATATGGGCTTTGATATAGAAAGTGAAAAGTACTTGAACGGCATTCATTACGCTTTCTATAATGAACATTCTGAAGGTAGTCCTGTCCGCTGATATAATGTAATGTAATAATAGGGACGGACGATTTTTTTGTTATAGTTTTAATGGTTTTTTCAACCTTTCATCCTTGGCTGCGCCTCACAACATACCATAAAAGATGCGAGACGAAAAGCACTGCATATAAATTAAATAAACCGATCTATCCGTCAAGAATCCATTTAACCATCTAGATACATTATTTCGTATTCATAAGCTCTTACAAGGAACTCATAAAATTCGAATTAATCAGATTATACCTCCCAGAATTGTAATGAAATAATTCATCGATGTCAGTGTACAAATGGCTTGATTCAAATGTAGTGTCATTTATCGATTCGTAGCAATTAAGATTTGAAGAATGAAAAGTATGAATAGATAACACATTTACGCTCGACAAACATAACTTACCATCTGCCGGCTGTTGAAAGTTAACATAAGCATAACCCAGAGAACGTCTTGTAATTGCGTCACGACATACACGAATAGACAGTACTGGACCAGCACTGCTGAACTTTTCAAAAAGCATCGCTTCGGTTACATCCGGATGCAAATCTCCAACATAGAGCGAAGCCATCGGATACGATGGAGTCATACCAGTACCAGCTGTTGCTACCGTTGCCATTTTTACTTCTTTTTTCTTTTTTTACTCTGTTCACAGATTACGGACCAAATTTGCTATTGACGACCTATTTACCGTTCCAAATCTTAAAATACATCGATTAGATGATCTCTCATGACATATGCCTAATTTGAGCAATAAAAATCGGCTTCTTCACTTACTTCCTTGACTGTAATTGAGAATCCCTAAAAGGCTCTGAATTTATGGGTCAAAATCCATCACTCATCTCCTAAAACAGCCAACGGAAAGCATAGAATTGGACAATGGCTCATTAAAGATCACAATACACAGAAGAGTACATTACTTCAGAGGTCACACGATAATTATATGCTAGGGTCTCCCCCTCAACATCCACTCTAGGTCAAACTCTCACGTCGTCGATCGATTAAATGAGAAAACCAGAAGAAAACGAAGAAACAACCTTATGTCTCACACCTTTAACAAACTGAAATGTTCGAAATGGAGAGATCTTAAATTTAAACATAAATTATAAAAGAATGGTAACAAAATTTGCATATCGAATTATATGAAAACTGATGGAAAAACAGCATGCTGTATACAAATTTAGACACACTTCCTTATATGACATCTGAAGAATTAAGCTAGCTATAAATCGCACATTTATACACTCAGTTGGCTGCTAAGGATCAGTGTCTTAAATCTTTCCCATTGTACGCAATCACGTAAAACTGTACCCATCCAAAAAAGGCAATAAAAATGGAAAAGGTTGATAGGTAAGAAATTCTGAAAGAAAGGTAGTATAAAGAGCTAAAAAGTTATCATTCTGGATAATTAAAGCAAATTAGTAGTTTATTAAAAACGACATAACGTATAAATGGAATCTAAAGCGTTAAATACAAAAAGCAAATAACCACAAGTTAAAAAGTAAGTCACATTCAATCATCATTCTTCTACGTAGGTCACAAAGTTTCGCTATCGAAAAAAGAAATAATTCCCAACACACACGATACTTCTTATTCAAGGTAAGCAAACGAAATACGGCAAAATTTAATTTGCGAACTAACAGTTGAATTTTATTCGATATAATCATGTGAAGAAATAGATAAAAGCTATATATCAAGTATAAAAGTTTTAAAAAGGAATATGAACAAACCTTGCGTAGGAAAACGATGTCAACTGTATCAGCGTAGCAATCCCGAAATTCTTCGTTCACCTTTTTTTTGCAAACGGCTTTTTGAAAGTTTTGCACTTTTTTTTTTTTTGGGGGAGGGGGTGGATTTTCTGACTTATAGACAGAAGTTTTGAGTAATTTTTTGATAAATTTTTAATTTTTTTTTTTGAATTTTTCAAATAAAAAGCGAGCAAAAAGAGACAGACAGGGATGCGACCCCAGCAGGTATCACAACACACTGCACACCTCAATGCCGCCCTTCCAACAGACAGACAGATGCAGACACTCGCACAGACTCACCCTTTATACCTTCCACCTATTCACTATCCTACTACAGTGCTTCCCTCCCACTGGCTCTTACAACGATCCTAACAACCTTTAGGATCGAGCATTCCTGATTGCTATTCTTTTGATAAGAAGCGGGATGGGGCTATTGAGGAGATTGTCTTGTTGTAACGATATGATCGTGATGTGGGACGGTGGAAGGCAATCTTTTCCATTTTACTGGTTTTTCTTTATCATTTTCAGAAATTTATCCTAAATTTTCTCTAATTTGGCATAATGCCAGAAACATTTCAAAATCATTTGGTAAATTGCCAGATAGGGGTAGTTCAGACAAAGGCGGGTGAGGAGAGAAGAAGAAGAAGAAGCTATGTGAGTATTTGGGAAACAGAAACGGAAAATGGGATGGAGGATCAAAGATATGAGTTGTGTTGTTAGATGGCGGGATAAGTTGGAAGCCTCACTTTGGAATGTCATCTTCCACTTCTGTAGGCTCCCTAATCTCATCATATTAGCCTACATCCATTTGCGCTTTCCTGAATCGCATTTTTTTAATCCGTTTTCATAACAGAAACGAACGGTTGAAAAAAATAGAGAAGATGGAAGAAATAATGAGAAAAATCTACCAGTGATATATTTCAATAATTTGGAGACTCAATAGTTTGGTTCGATCGTAATTTTGAAGTGGATTTCAATTCCGTTATAGAATCACACGACCTTAAATTCCCATGGGATTATTAGGAATGATTTGATTTACTAGTGCAACATATCATGAATGATAAAACAAAATTTGATATCTATTTACAACCGAACTATTCTGGTTGAGTTTCAGGATAAGCCAATCTAGATATTCAAAATTCACGTCAACTTATTCCATCAACACTTTTCACTTCAGTAATTCTTTTGATGAGGTTACCATTATAAAAAGATCATGGAACAGAAGATAACTTTAAAACGAAGTTCTTAAAAACATTTAGTAGTTTAAAAATATCCAGTTTAAAAACAAAATTAAAAGCTAGCAAAAGAATTACTAAAGTGATAATTATAAAACAATTGAAAAATCAACCATAGAAAAAGATTGCATATAACATGCAACATTCAAATGCAAAACCAAGAAATTTTTAACTATAAATAAGAAACAGAAATATTATTAATTTCGTAAAAAAGAAATCCATCCCAATTCATAATTATATACTCAGGAATTCACATCAAACAATGCCTACATATCATTGTCACCAGCAATTAAGCTCATCCAATCAAGCAATAATGAATTAATACAACTGCCACACATGCCATACATACAATGAACAATACTCGTAACTCACCTTTAGGATATGCAAATTTGCATATTTGCTTGGAAACCCTGCTAGATGTAGGATATCGTACGTAAACTGGATGATGCATTACATTTGTTAACATTTCTTTTTTAAGGTGCAATACTAATATTTGGAAATTAGTATGTACAGAATGGATAATGAGAATGCTTTAGGATATGTTCTTTTTCAGTTATGATATTCGGATAGAATTAATTCTAAAATTTGTCCAAACATATTATTAAAAGATTGTCGTATGGTTTTAGCAAGAAAGGATGAGAAATTTGAAATAGCACATAAATGATAGCAATGAAATAATGGTATAAAAAATGACATGATACGATATCATCTTTAAAGTATCCCTTTTTCATAAATCTAAGTTCAAATCAATTAAATCAATTAATTCAATTAATTTCAATCAATTAATTTCAACTCTAAGCCTCGCAATGGTAAACAAATAATAGCTTAGGATTTAATCTATAAAATCCACTAATAACTCTTATATCATTTAAGTCAAAGACGATTATTACTTATTCGAATATTTCTCTTACATTTAATAATCATATCGGAGATGTTTCATTAGCATTGTTATCAGTTATTATTTGATAATAGTTCATTTTATCCTTATCATTGTCATATGGAACATTAATCATTGAATGAATTAACCTTATCACTCTACACTGATTTGTTTTCCCGCTTTTTCGTCTTTAATGAAGAAAGGAATCGTAGATGGGTGAGAGAGAGAGAGGGAGAGAGGGAGAGACAGAGAGGGAGAGAGATATTGTCTGGTGAAATAAAAGTGATGACGATAAGAAACAGTTTCAGTTTAAAATGTATACGTGTTGAAAGGGACGATGCGATCTCTGCACGTTGTAAAACTAATATAATTCCCTCTCTCGATGTTTTTTAACTTTTTCATTTTCAAATCATTCAAATATTCGATTTAATTTATATAAGGTTCTTTGATTTAGATCATATCTTTACTTTTTCACTGATTAAGCTTATTTTTTTTCCGAATCTTTCCGGTATTCATAATCGTAAAAAAGTTTTCGACAAATTACCGGACAAATGTTCCGTGCGTTCTGTTTCCTTTTCTCTCTATGCGCCATTGATAGTAATTCGTTCACATACTGCAGCAACCTTTTATTGTAACTCTTAGTGTTGCTTTTACTCATTTGTATTCGTGAACTTTCAAAATATGTTTAGATATTTTCGAGTGTAAATATGGTACACTTTTTGTTTACTATTTAACAAATTACGCCTTATTTATGGGATGGATAGCGAATTGATTCATTAACATTTTTATATCATAATTTGATTTAGATGGTTTATTTTCTAATGTTTGCTGTGAACTTTGAACAAGTGATATACATCAAACTTTTTACTTATTCTCTGCGGCACTTATTTTGTTGATTATGTGCACATGTATGAAATTGTACAAGGTTATCAATTTGTTGCAGAATCTTACACTATCGATATTGGTCGTATATGGGGGAGAAAGGCACAACATGTCCTATTACAGACACAGTTGTTACTGCGACAACGAGCCTAAGACCGACGGTACCAGATAGACAAGGTTTTCAGCGGGCGCTACGTGAATATAATCAGAGTATTAGCGAAACTATTGGAAAGGTTATTTTTATTCTTCACTGCTTAGTTTTCGTTGCTTAGTGCTTATTTCAGTCATCAGAGTCTCTAGATTATGTGTGAAAATCGCTTGGCTCTTTCAGTTTTTTTTACACTAATTCTTAATCCAACAAATATGCTTCTTTGGAACTTTTGAATCTTTGTTAGTCATTTTGTATCTCCCACACCACCGTGTCATTCCACATCTATTCTTATAGAGATTTCTGTTTAACAAGTAAGAGGGAATATAACTGTGAATGATTGGTAAAGATCGTATTAAGCTCACTTCCTGACAACTATGAAACAGTTGTGAAAGTTTAATTTCAAGGCTATCTGATATTTTAAAGTCTCTTTCAACTGAATCGTAGAGTAAATTCTTGGTTGCGTTTGCCTACCGTTTACCTAAAAGAATGCCTACCTTTGTTTGTAGATTGATAAAATTATCGGAAGGAACAATACTGTTGGGACTTTGAACATATTAAAGCAAAGCAAGCAGGAACCTCGCAAAAGAAGAGAGCAGTTGAAGATTGAGGCTGATGGAATGAAAACTGAAATTATTGAAATCAAAAAGCTGCTCTCAGAAAAAGTTAGTGATTGCTTTATTTTGTGGAATTCATCTTTTCTGCTTCTTGAATTTCGAAAGTTTGAATAATTGAATAATTCATTCAACAATGATATATTGACGTAGTGAAACTATTTTCCGTCACATTATTGGTAACAAAGATGTTGAAAAACTTACGAATGACAAAAATATAGTTGTACTTCACAAGAAGTTTAACCATAAATTTTTACTGGGCTGGTTGTAATTCTAGAGAGTTGTTTCGGAAGCTAACATTTCTTTTGAATCGAGTGGCATGGTGTTATATTGCTTTCATGGAGAGGAAAATATTATTTTGAAGAAATGAGCTATTTGTTAAAAAATAAGCAATCCCATGTATTAGAGTATTTTGGTCCATTCAGTAATGAAGTTTCATTTATATGTAATTAATCATAAAAGAAAAATTTCCAGGATGCGTTAATATCCGATATAGAAAATGATCTAGTCTACAGGGATGAAAGCAAATTAACAACACGTTTGGAAGAGTTGGAGATTGCATACTCTCAAACGAAATTTACTTCTAGTCGTACCGAAAAAGCGCTAATCAAGGAAATCGACAAATTAAAACGAAATCGAGCTAAACTAGCGCAAGTTTAATCATCCTATTAGTTTAATGTTCATTTAATAATAATTAAAATAGTCAGTTAAGAAAGATATTCATCTGCCTATGTAAAGCCAAATATCTCTTGTCCTGGGTTGTGGCTAGCAGAACAATCCTGGGAGGTTTGAGAGAGAAAGAAGAAATGGAACTTTTGTTGCAAATGGAAATTTGTGATGCAACAAATATAAGGTGTCTTATTAATGTAAACCTCCGATGTGAAAATATCAAATTAACAGCAGGAAGACATGAGGGGTAAAATTAAGGGACTAATACTATGACTTCTGCGTAGGAAAAATTACAGTATACAGCACAATAGCATTAGACATTTATGAATTAAATCATAAGCGAAAAAGTTTTAAAGACTCGTTCGTACTAATGATATGGAAATGATTTGGATAATCTAAGTAATTTATCAGGTAAATATGTAGTCAGTTGATTTTATGAATTTTAGTCTTCAAGTTATAATGCTGATTACATTAAAAGCAATTCTGAAACGCTTAATTTTTGATTTTATGGATTCAGTGTTCATTTGTTAATTAAACGCCACAAAACTCATTCTTCAGGAAATATAATATTATCATGGAAGAGAAACGGGTTATACAGCTCCAGTTGTGTGGAATCAATGGACGGCGTAGTGTATGTTGCTACACATTCCATCTCTTTATCGGAACTTTCACTAATTCTTAATATTGTAAGGTTTATTATGCTTCTCAGCCCTTCAGGCGACTTTGTCCTTTCGATGAAAGACAAATGGAGTCGGTGGATAGTTACAACAGGAAGAGGAAGGTGTACATAGATTAGTTTGTTGTTTAATTTATGGATTCTCAGTAAATTGTGATCATATATTGATTTTAACAGTTTATAGGATTAGTCCAGAAAAAAGCTTCCCTCTCACCTTGGTTTTTTCCGTATTTTTTAATTTCTTAATTTTATTCCTTAATTATTTTATTTATATTTTATTCTTTTAGTTTCGTAAAACTCTTATATAATAATAAAATTTATTTTATATTTACACGTTTCTTTTAAATATTCTTTGCTTGAATTTATCAAATGCTTTACAAAATAATAATGAAAAGAAAGCATTTTAGAATGTGCTCAAGTCAATCCGGGAAATAACAAGCCAGCTTGATAATACTGATCGACATATTAGACAACAAAGGCGGGAATTCTTGCAACTTAAAGATAGTTTATGTGATTTACATGTTAAAAAAAAGAAACTGGTGGATAGTTATAACAAGAAGCGGGCGGAATACATCGACTGGTCAAATAAAAATAAAAAGGACATGCAGTGTTCTTCCACAATTTGTCCGAACTATCCGCCAACACATCCGGTTGCTCATCGTCATCAGTCTTGTATGTTTTTACCCATTAATATTTTACAAGAGATTTTGCATTGTCTTGACTTAGTTACTTCATATCTCTCCCAGTTTAGCTGCTGATATTATTGACGAAGAAACACTGGAACCGTTTTATGAACAGAAGATTGCGTGCACAAGATTGATTGAGTATTTAACTTCACTGCAGTCACGGATGCCCCTGGAATGTTCATCATCAACTTATGATACAACAGATAAAACATGTAAGCAGATAACAGTTGACGGGAGTGAAGGTAGGTGTTATTCCGATTTGTTTCGTCTGGTGTATACTTCAATATTTTACTCTTTTTATCTTATTTTTATTCTCAGTACAAACTTTTCCCTGGAAAATGGTGACTTCTTTTAGTTCTTGTAAAGCTGTGTTATTTGTCAAAACATATTAATTTTGTATGAACATTTTTTCAGATTCAGCTGAGGAATACCCATCTTTCTCGACATTGAAAATGCAAGCGTCATTACCGGTTTGTACCACATCTGAGCAGGAGTTGGGTAAAGAAACATCTTTTGTTACTGTTTTGAAGAAAAAAAATTGCAAGAAATCTTCGAAGAAGCCATGTCAGGTATTTTTCAAGTTTTGACCAAATACGCGAACTTCATATATATTGCACCACATATAACGGCCCTAAAATTCTAGATTTATTTAATTTGAATTTGTTTCTTTACAATTGCTTTGGCTAAATAAAAATCATTATCAAGAAGTAGAGTTGATTAATATTTTTATAATTTATTAATCAATATCCTCACAATTAATGATATTGTAACTCTAAACACCTCTTTTTTATCCGAAGTTAATTTTGGATCTTTTTTCTCAGTTTAACTTAATTTCATTTCTCCTTGCAGAAAATAAGTCATCCAATGCAAATGTTATGTTTCTTCAAAGAAACCGAGATACCAATACCTCAAACTTATCGGGAAATTGAGCACACATTGAATATGGTTCGTATATTATTGAAACAATATCAAGAACAGACGAAGTAAGTATTAAAGAATTAAGCTAGTTTTAATTTATTTAATTTTAATTGATTAAAAAGTTGAACTATCGATTGTAGCAGAAATTGGCACGATTTATATTCTATATTACAGAATAAATAGATCACTTAATACTATGAATATTATCTCTTTTAATCATCTAATATAATACAATATGCTTAAAGCAGGAGATTTGATATTCTTCACTATTAGGTAATAATGAATGTCTTTAAGTCAATCAGTGATAAATCCTGGAAGAGAAGACTAAAAGATACAATCAATATTAATATTCAATAATTAATAATGAAACTTTTCCTCTGCTACATCCTAAATGAATTCAAAGCCACAAATCCTGGATAAAAGGTTATATAAAGGATAAAAAGAACAAAAGATTAAAACACCAACTTTAACCTATTATTTCATTACTCAATTGTTGTCGAGAAAGAAATCTTCATTTCCTTGAACTTATGATTAAGAGTCGATTGTGTTTAATGAAATTTATTTGCAGCGTTATTGTTTGGGAAGAAAGTGATTATCGGCAGTTACCTCCACTCAGTGAAAGTGAACATACGGCGGATTCAACTCGGAATGGTTCAACAGACACGTCCGATCACGGGAGCATTTTCAATTTTCATACCTGTTCCTCTTTTGACCTCGCAACACCAGCACAGGAGAGACCTCAGTCTTCTGCAGTAGTCAACCAAAAGCCGGAGTTTCCGATTCGGTCATCAGTATCTGATGAAGGCTTCTCAAGTAAAAATTCAACTCTTTAAAACATTCTTGTTATTGATTTATGAAGATCGTGGCGCTTGTTTCTTTGTTTTTTATTTGGGAAATTGAAATTTAACGAATCGTCAAGAAATTCTATTCAAAGATTGCCATTCTTAAAAACTCTTTCCGTAAGTATGTAAGTTTTTTTAATAGCAGCGAAAAAGTTCAGTGCTGTGAATTGCTTAAAATATAGGCAAACTTATATATTACTCCTGGTATGTCCACCATCCGTACTCTTTATAAATCTGAGGTTGGAATTATTGATTCGCGATGTTGTTTTACTGTTCCTTTTCAGTAATAAATTTTTTCACCGTTTACAATGATTTTATTGATGAAATATAATGTAGGAAATTTTGTAGATAACTTATTTCAGTAACTGTTTCCGTTATTATATGAGATTTCAAAAGAGAAAACATTTAGGCAGCATGGTGAGCATTTATCAAATGTTTGCATTTATTCAATGTGTCATAAAAATTTCTTGAAGCACATTTGCTTTTATAACTATTGTGCTCTACATATTCCTCAATTCGTGACTTCTTGTGCTGTATGCTTAATTTATGAATTATGGTTTGCAAATCCAAAAAAAAAAAATTGATAAGAAAGGCATGAGCTGCTAATTGGAATCATTTAAAATTCATTTAAAAGTTCAGATTTTTTTTTTTAGATTTTGGATTTAAAAATTTTTAACTTTTTTCAATGTTTTCTGGATTTCACTTGTTTTTTACATTCGCTGTGATTTAAGTTGAAGTGATATGGTTTCATAATCCGGTAGCTATGTATTTTGGTTGTAATAATAAATTATTGCTGACTTCCGGATATATATTAAAATCGGGAATATCTTTTATCCGTTATTGCTTGTACACTTAAAAAAATGAAATTTTGTGCGAAATAATCAGAGAATAGAAACAAACAGTTTTTATACACAATGGCCGGTTGGAGAATAAGAATGATGCTCTTCATAAAGTTAGGATAATGCATACAAATAAGTTATTTCTCAAAAAATGAACAATTGAAATTAAAGTGACTATTTCACATGGAGTTCTTGTCAGAGAAATAGTTATACGAATAGATCATACCCAAACTTCGAATTTCGACAAAGCTTCCGATTTACAGGAATTTTGCAGTGCAAGGAGAAGAATGATCTGAAAGTCCGGAAGCTATTGTCACGACACAAAATGAACAACGGATCTAACCGTCTTTTCACTATCTTTCCTTCAACAGCTTATAGTAAAGGCCTTTGGCTTCCTCTTGACACAAGAGAAACATAAGTAGATACCCGTATATCACTTTTCACTAGTTCTGTTTCCAAATTCTATCATGAATATGAATGTGAAAACAGCACAGAATATCATTAGAAATCAATATCAGTTATTGCATCACAAAAGTGTGGGGGAGATTTATCGAAGTGAACGAGACAGATTGATGTGCCCACTATGACACACTTCACAATATTATTATTGACAGCCGAAATGATCAATGATGATGGATCGGTAGTACTTAATAACACAGACTGCTGGAAACTTAACTGAAACAAAGAAGCAAATCTTTAAAAGGAAGTGAAAGCATCAATTGTAACAATGAAAACACAATTTGTTAGGTTTTCTATTGCAAAAAGTACTCGAAACATTGATAACCACTCGAGAACAAAAGATTTAGATAGTACTCTGCAACGCAGTCCCTTCGATAAGTAATTTTTCGCCTCTATCCACATTGCAAATCCTTCACAAATTCCCCAGTTCCTATTTGTTTTTTGTTTTCTGAGTTATCAAATTAGCAGGAAGGATAAATGATTCACATATAACTATATTTAGGTTTAAACTATATTCCAAATTTCAAGCTACACTAATAGTACTCCCAAGTGAACTATGTGCCGATGATTTCAAAAATTTATTCCTATCAAACAGACTCGAAAAACAGTTAGATTGTATTTACACATTTATGAATTATGAACTAAGACATGAGCTAAGAACAAACACTTAAACGTTGGAGAGAATGACCATTCAGCGGTCAATATATATTTACAACCAATAGCTAAATCAGTAAGGGAAGAACGTGTGCCAATATTAGAAGCTATAATACTTAAATATTCTGACTCATTTTGAGGATGAAACTTTTTAAAATTATTTAGGGCTATTGATATTGAGTGACAATCTGGAATGCCTTTCTTGGAACTATTAGACTTGACCTTTTTAAAATGCTTCATAAAGTAATAATATCAAATTATCAGAAACTTTAATCACCAAACATTGGTGAAAGAATGGAGGCTTATTTCGACTCAAGAAAGCAAAGTTTATAATTCATAGCCCCAGCAAAATCTATTTGATAACGAGGACAATTCCAACTCTAATTGATCTGACATAATTTTATTACCAAATTACTGACGAAATTGCATTATTTTTGTTTTAATTAAGCCTTGCTTGATATAAGTAATAGTATTTCAAATGTCGTGTTCAAAATAGTCATTTATTTCAAATCACATCAGGAGAATGGAAGGCACTTAATATTTGCTGGTTACCATTCTTTTAAACCAAACAATCAACCGCATACCGAAGTTGAATGGAAAACTAGATGAAAAAGTCTAATTTGTAAGTAACCAGTATCCGGAAATATGAAGTCGTGTTAATTAGTTCATTTTAATGAGAAAAAGTATAAGTTTTAATTTATCTAAACAGATTAAATATTCTAGATAAACAGTGACTTACCGTTTGATGAGCAGGAGAATAGACGAATACTGCTAATCTGCAGTCTAATGCAATTGAAAATACCAAAAAGGATTCTGAGGTTCGGTGAAGAAGCAAGTCTATAATAGTCCTTTCAAATCAAAAAAAAAAACTTAAAAAAAAACTTAAAACTTAAAATTAAGAAACTAAAAATATAAAAAACCGTTTTATTTTTAAAATCCTGTTAATTAGTGTGAGTCTAACCGATCAAGCACCAATATAATTCATTCATGTCTCGTTAGTAAAAAAGCGAAGTACTCGTCTACCTGTGCACGTTGCACCATGCCAATAGTTGACACTTTTTACGAATTCCCAATTTTTCTCGATTTGAAACACGTTGATAGTGCCCGATTCAGAGCCCACACCAACATAGAGAAGCTCTAAAATACAAACAAAGTAAATTGTTGATAACTGAAAGAGAAAAAAAAGATAAAAGTTGTTGGTCTCTTAATTTTCGAAAATTCAAAATTTTTAAATCCTGAATTTATACTAAAAAACCTTACCATTTTCGTTGTACATGCTCAATGCACTAAGTCCACACTTTTCCACTTCGATCCTTCTCTGATCTTTTACATCAACTAATTCGGAAAAATTCCAGATGTATAATATTCCTGTGGATGAGATAGCACTGCAGAGAAAGCTATCACTTAAAGAAGCGCAAGAAACTTTAACCATAATTCCATCACCACTAATCGATTCAAACAAAACTGAGTGTTTTTTTGAATCCAAAGCCCTGCTCAATTCGTAAATCCTTAAAGAGAAAAAATTTATGAAGTTTTTACGCAACAGAAATGATTCTAAGAATTCGCAGTAGTCAAGCCACATCAAATTGTGACCCATAATTTTACTTACATTAGTCTTCCATCCGAGCATGAAACCAGGAATCGAATGCAAGGACTGACTGATATGAATCGAGCACTTAACAATCTACAGTCCCTTTTAATACGAGTGTTAAAAAATTGCTGAAGGTTTCCTGAAAATATTGCGAAAATTTATACTGCGAAAAATATATAACGAAAATTTAAAAAAAAAATGACAAACTGAAACATGCCAGCTTCTAGATGCCAAATAAAAATTTCAGATTTTCCTCCAACAGAAATAAGGTATAAATCCATCGCAAAAATACAGTACACTGAAGACGAATGAGCTTGCAATCGCTGTATTACTTCAACAGATCCTGAAAATTTGTTATAACCATTTTCCAAAATTTGAAGATCTAGTAACGGTTAGTAAACCAATTCTTTTTCAAGACTTAAGAAAGTACTGTTCCGAGAAGCATTGCCACCGCTCATTTTATCATAGGTCATAATCGTTATAGAACCCTATATCAAAAGCGTTAAATAAAAAAAAACTTGAACCTGAATTGATAAATCTGGACAAAACAAGCATACCATCAATGCCACCAGTAACATATAATTCTTTTTGATTAATTTTTATAACCGCTATACATGTAATGCTGGATAAATGCAAATTAGGCTGCAAAATATACAGATCATGATTTTTAATTGCATATACATGTAAATCAGAGAAGACACAGATTAGATTTTAATTATACGCATGTGGCTAAAATTCAACTTTTATGTAGGTTTTTCTCTTTGTAAGGATATGAATAAGGTAAACAGTGGAAAAGATGTAGGAAACAATAGTATTTTTCCATTGAAAAGTTGTTTTGGAATTACCTCAAAGATTGGTTCATACTTGATTTATGATTTCAAATAACTCAAATAAAATTTTGATATTCAAATCAAAAGAAAAGATGAAAGAGCATACTGCGCCTTCTGGAACTATAAAATTATTAAGAAAAAAACTCCATTCCCAAATAGAATTCCATCATACTTCCAGGAAAACTTATATGACTAATGATGGGGAAATGCTACTTCAGCCTAGCATGATAAAAAAATTGCAAGCTTCAGCATTCTGTACTTTCATTAATAACTGATACCGTTTTAACAAAAGATTAGTTCGAAGTCTTGTGTGATGACCTACCTTAATTACATGTAAATCATTCATATAAACTATAATTCTTGAAATCCTTCTTTTTGCAACAAACTCAAAACACAATGATTTCGGCTCTTCACAATTTCTATTTTCTTCCAATACTGACAGCGACCAAGAGCGACGCCTTCCTCCACACCAGACATCACAAACGCAGTGTCCACTATCGTAATTTACCAGAATAAAATTGCCCTATAAACCGAACGTGCTTCTTTTTTCTTAATATCATTTTAATGAATGTAATTTTTCGTGCAGAAAATAACATACCACGAAAGCTACGATTTCGTAAAAAACTGTTCCGTATTCATCAAGTATATTTAAAAATCAATGTACTAACCCCCCGAAACCCTGCCACATATAGCTGATTTGTCGTTTCAAAAAACCTGCATGGCCATTCCATTTCGACTGCAGTGGAAGGTTTAGACCAAGACAACAACTGTAGTGGATTTCCTAAAAACGACATTTGACTGAAATCTTAAGTTTATTTCTGAATGAGTTATGCTGGGGAATAATTCCAATTAATGTTGAATGACTTGAACCATAACCTCTCTTCCAAATGCACATTTTTCCATCACGTCCAATAGACAGTAATTTCGTCTTACATAATTTCATGTCTGTAACACCATTCTTACCATGGGCCCGTTTTATTATCTGCTTCATCTAAAATAGAGAACAATAAAATATTATCATTTAAATTTAAAAAAAAATCATCTTTAGTGAAATGAAATTTAAATACAGCTTGTTAAAGATAGCAAAATAACGAGACACGAAACCATTATTTCATAAACTATAGTTACTCAATACTACAATCATAAAGAATAATTCCTTGATCTCAAACTGTCTTGTAGCAAAGGAAAAATATTAATTCATTCAAAAACATAAAACAGATCCAAGCACAAATTTCACCATTACTCATTTGGGTATTCAAAGTATATGATGTTCGAAGTGATAAAAGGCAAATCAAATTGGCCTTGCCATGCATTACCTCGAGATTATGCACAGCAACGATCGAACCTTTGCGTGTACCCAGAAAAAGTTCTTCGGTGTGAATAACAATACAGGAAACAATTTCCTGCAGATCTATTCGCAAAGTATGATTCGTCCATCCTAACATATTTTTTGATAAGTGAAGAAGTATCTGTAAATTGATCAAAATATCTTGGGGATTTTGATAGAAACATTCACGAAAAATTGATTTCCTTTGCAAGCAACAACAGCATCAGGATTTGAGAGACAAGACAAAAATGGAAAACAGAACATAAACCGTAAGCTTCCAACAAAAGAATCAAACAACTCACATATTTAAAGTTGAATAATGAAAGAAATAAACAACTGCCAGCCCAAAACAAATCCAATATTTGATCAACAGCACAAAAAAAAGTGCATTTGTGATCCTCAACTGGAAAAATGAGGAAACGAATTTGGAAATTATATGTATTGGATTCTATTCACGGAAATTTTGCACTTTTTCTTTACATATTATTTTGATGTGAACAAGCGCAACTAATTATTTGAGTGAACGCATGAAAAAATTTGATAATACCAATGGAAGTACCAGTTAATATTCTGAAAGCTACTCACCTCTTATTATATGCAATTTTCGGTCTTCCGAAAGAGCTACGTATCCTCGGCATGGTGATAATTTTAATGAGTTTGATCTAGCAGAACTGCACCGCAATATTTTATTTAAGGAAACTGCGTTTGTTTCATACAGTGTTCTAAAATTATAAAATATTGTGAATATATTCCTAGTAGCTTCATAAATTACCAAAGAAATATCAACAAATCAGTTCGTTTAAAAACAGAAGAAACTACACTCTCTCCACTGGAGAGCTTTAAAAAAGAAAAGTGTAAAAAAGATTTAATAAACCATAACTGTTATAGGAGACTTAAACATAATAAAGCTTACTTAATAGCAAAAGAATATTGAAGCTATAAAAAATCACAAATTGGGTACAAACATTGTTAAGTTGTTCGAGAGAAAAAAACATTATTTAAAATCAGTATGACAAAATATGTAAGAAAAAACTCAATAACTACCTATTTCTTGTTAATTTTCCTTCTAATATAAAGTCCGACTAACCCAAAGCATGAATTTAAGGTAAGAAATTTACCTCATTTCATTAAAAATTTTGCCAGCATCTTTTTAATAGAAGTAAAGCTACATGTCAATGAGTAAGCCATTCAATAATGAAAAATATTCAGCTTTATCACTGAAAAGCGGAAATCTGTAAATTCCACTACGTGTACACTTGAAAAAGCTATGTTGAATTTATTAGAAATAAATTTTTCGTTCAGCTTTTAAGTTTATATAAAGAAAGTTTCCCGTATCTTTCCTAACACCTCAGCATTTGATAAAGTACTGTCATGATTTTATAATTATAAACTACATATTGCTCTATTACATATTGCAGGCAATAATATGCTCCTAATATATTACTTCCTAAAAAACTCAGCCAGATTTGACAAACTTTCATGCTTATTTTATCATCTTGGCTGTAAGCATGAACGGAAACTTCAACAAAAAGAGAAGGAAGACATTTCTCTTCCATCCATCCGTTTTAAAAATGAATTGCGAACAATATCAGAAAAGAGAAAAATGACATTTTAAATGCTAAAGTCGGAGATGATATTGAAAAGCATGAAATAGCAAAACGTGATTCACGAATTTTAACCGATAATGTGTGTTCAGAATGCTAAGAAGGGTAATTCATAAGTTTGATTACTATTTCTTCCGTCCTTCCTTAGTCATTTCATATCTTAGGCACCCTATTCCTACATGATCATTGACGATAATTTGGTGTATTATTGTTAGGTGCACTTTCTATTTAGATCTACTTTTTATTTTATTATGCAATATTGCCCCTATCATTAGTATATATTCATGAAAACAATTCATAAAAAATAGTGATAACTAACCCTTCTGAGTCCAAAATATAATAGCACTGCCGTGAAAGTGCAACGAATGACTGCACTGATAGACTTGGAAAAATAACATCCACGGTTTGCATATTTTCTATATTTTCTGGAAATGTGATAGATCCAAAGAACCCATTATCTGTGCCGAAGAACTGAAAAATTAACAGTAAATTGAGATAAATGAAAAAGAAAAAAACAAACACGGGATATTGACAGTGAGTTCCTAGCATAACAATAATTTCTCTCTCAAAGAGAAATTATTCAAGTTAGTTGGACAGCAAAAAATTAAAATTAGTTTAGACCAACTTTCATGACTTTTTCGATAACGAGACCTAAAAAATTTACCAGTTCTCGCGATACAAATAGAAGAGAACGAATAAAACCATATCCTGTGTGTATCATCTTTAAAAGCGAAACAAACGATTCGCTAAACAGCCACATACATATGCTTCCGTCCTAAAATCACACATAAAACATCAAAAATAACTGAAACTGAATCGCTCCGGAAGTTGAAATAATTTGCACAGAAAAATAAAACAATATTAACTTTTTGCCTGAAGAAATAATTCAACTGAACTTGATATAAGACAAAGCTAACAAAAAAAAGAACAAATAAACGTGATTTCAGAACGCCTTATTTTATACCCTTTCTCTAAGAATCATTATTCGGAATTTACAATTTTTTTTAGATTCTGAGTACATTCTTCAACTTTTTTACTATGCAAATTTGTTTTTCAAAACGCAGCCCAAGTAGCAATAGAAATAGAAACAACACTAAAAAATAACACGTACTTGACCTCCGGTGAATACCACATTTTGCGGTCCACCACAAATGGAAAGTGGCCTTGTTGAATGTCCGTAACATTCATGTAGATGGCGAGCATTATGCAGGGACCACATATGTAAGCTTCTGTCATCCGATATCGAAAATAGGAAATTACATTTTATAAGTAAACCGAAAATCATACCCTGCAATAGTTAATTTGTATCAGTCACCAGCAATTATAGATAATAAGGATTTTAGTTCGTTACCATTTATAAATGAACTCCCACCAAAATCATCTAACTGAAAAAGCTATACTATACTATTGAGGGTAAATTAATTATCAAAATAGTGAAGTAAGAACTTTTTAGGATGGAATGAGTCGTTTAAAACATCAAAGCTGAAGAAAACAAAAAGAGGTTGAGAAAAAATGAAACATTAAATTAATTTTGATTAAGTGTAGTTCGCTAAGTTCGTCAATCATCGATCTTCAAAGCACGATCTAACATTTTTATTTACTCCTTTTATTTAGTGTGAAAAGCTTCGCGAATTCCGAACCGTATGATATTTTAGAAAGTGAAAAGGAGACGAAGACTTGGAAGGATAAGAAATGATTATATCACCCGTAACGGTACCAATTATCGTGCGAAGAGTGTTCCAACAATCGCCATCCAAAATTGAATGCATTCTGCAAAGCTTTAGAATTTCCGAAATCTTTATAATTTTATAATTCAGTGTTTCTCGTAAATAAAATAACAAACCATTCTTATAAGAGTAAATAATTAATGAAGCAATATCAATATTTGCTGCAGCAAACTCATTTTCACTTTGAAAATTATCTTAAATCTAGCCAACAAAAAGCTTGAAATTCACGATTTTTCGAAAAATTTACATGACAACTCGGTGATTTGATCTCACAGTTACCACTTCTTTAATGTCCACATCTGAACTTCCATCAAAAACATCCAGCCGGAAAAGTTGTACTGCGTTATTGATAGACAGTGTTACTAACTACCAAAAAAGCAGGAATAGTTATTTAACTGTCTAAATGATTGGAGTATACCACTGCGAAAAATACTACTATTAGCAAAATTTGAAAAAATATTAGTAACATGCCACCAAATAAGTCCCTAAAATATCCCAACAATATATCATAATATCCTATTTGAAAAATTCAGGTGGAGTTGTGTCTTAAGCAGTGCGTTTCAAAAGAGTGCTAATTCAGGTGGAGTTGAATTGTACAAAATAAATCTAACCTCTAAGGAATGTCCTGGCTCCTCCAGTTTATTGAAGACACACATGGCTTGGATCCAATCTTTAGAAATAAATACTTGTTTCTGCGGAATGCTGGAAAACTGACGTATAACGGCTACCAACTTTTCGCCATAGGCAAATAAAATATCTAAATATAACGTCTCACAAGAACAATTATTAAAGTTGTAGAATTATCAAGAATTAGTAGTAGAATTGGTTGACCTTTATGGAAAATTATACACAATACTAATCGAACAAGTGGATCAGATAGGAAATCTTTTTTGTATCAATATACTACAGAACTGAAAGTTTCATATTTGGTAATATTGATATCATGCCATTATTAAAGTATTCCAAAATAGAGGCGAACAAAGTGATCTAAATGTTATGAAATTATTGAAAAAAACTATTTATCATTAGTAACTATCAAAATGTTCAAAAAAAGCAATATATCCATACCTTGTTTATCGAGATAAGTCAACCCATATATATTGCATTTTCTTTCTTCAAAAACACACGTTTGTTGCTGTGAAACCAATAGTTCATTGTGATCCTTCCGATAAGAATCAACCATACAACCATTACCTAAAATTAAAATCGTACGTAAAATAATTAAATAAAGAAATTCGACTTAAAAATGAGGTGAAAGAAGATCATAGATGTGCAAACAAAGATAATCTAACAGATTAGTTTAGCGAAGTGACTTGAAAGGAATAAATTCCAGACTTGAAGAAAATGAAACTTGCTGGCTAGGAGAAGAGAGCGATCAGTAACTCCATCACTTCTTTGTATGGTTAATACCGGAGCGCATAACGATTTCATCAACTCCTACGAAAAAACAAAATATAGAAGAAATAATTAATACATATTTCTACAACAAATTGATATATATATATATATATTAGCGAGAGTAATGTTTATGAGCATCCACTTTCTTATAGCAAACTTATTTATTATGTGAAATGTAGAATCCTACAAAACACGGATATATTTGAGCTTAAAAAAATAAATATCTCTATATTAGCTGAGCTAAACAGAGATTTACAAAATTCAATAAGAAACTTTGGTGGAATCCGTAAAATTTCGGAATCTATTTGCTGCACATGTTGAAGTCATAAATGGAACAATTGTGCGTTCTCAACTCTCTTATAAGTACTAGTTGACTTCTGTTAAGATTCATAATTGCCTATACGTTGCATGAAACCTTTCACGTTTTGCTTCCGATATCACACTTCAACGAAAAACTCACCAAGCGTTGACTATCATAATATTAAAGCATCTTTCAACTCAAAAGCACGAGAACCATCTTTTTCATCGCCTCAATTTATGGGCCATATTAAATAAAGTCCACTGGGTCCCGGCTGTCGAGAGTGACCTAGGTGTAGATTACGTCTGGCTCGAGATCAGAGTGTGATCTACGCGAGGCTATCAGCAATGATTTAATTCTACTATGATTATTGGCTTGTCATCCTCAACTTCACCTTTAACCTTATTCTGATGGATTTATTTAAACACCAACCATGATTTAACCGTATTATCATTATTGGTTTATCACACCCTACTTTAACTTTATTTTGGTGGATTTGTCTAAAATAATGCAATGTGCATGCGTGTGTGTGTGTGTGTGAGTTTTTGCAAGTAAGGACTGCGAAATTGATGTGAAAAAGTCGCAACCTTTTTTTTTAAAAAAAGATTATCAGCTAAATAGTTGCTAAGAACAGAATCGATTTCATGTGAAGGAAATCGATAACATATGTCTTTTCCCAGTATATACTGCAAGAAAATGTTCGTAATACAATTGTAGTAGGAGTAGCCTGAGACTTCACTGGAACTGTGTAAGATTTAGTTAAGATAACTATGGAAATTAATAACAGTTAAATTTCTTGACATAATCCACAGAATTGTAGCACTTTCAAATTCACAATCCGTTGTGTGAATTCCAACCTTATTTTTTAATGCTTGGAAGTGCCGTAAACTTTGCTGCAGGATCACAACAAGCAGTGGAAATATGTCGCTGAAATCAATTGTTGGTCAGAGTAAGTTCTTCAATCGTCTGCCGTCTGTATTGTAGTGCTTTCATTTTATTTGTGATTGTCCGATGCAGCATGGCCAATATTTCGATTTCATTTATTTATTGATGTGTAGAGCAGAAAAGCACTTTTTTTTAAAGGGTTATGGCCATAACTGAAATTTCTGGCATATAAGAGTTGAAGTTTTGAGTTTCTGATTTATAGTTCGATTTAAACATGTAATTAATTAGATAGGCAGAGCATGGAAAAACGCATTCTGGTTTCTATACCATTAATTGGTAATTCTATTTAACTTAACTGAGTATTTAACATTTATTAGCACAGTTTAATAGACAAACAATGTTTTCTATGTGATCATCACGATTCCTTTATCCTTTTTCATCTGCTTTCTGTGTAATTGACGAGTGAATCACGTATCCATGCAATCATGTATAAAGCGTTTCGTAAAATGTTCACTACAATGGCCATCAAATCGAAAAGCATCCTTTTGGTGGTTAAATTCAATTCTGCTATTGCCGTTACACAAATTTCACGCATCCTTTCAACTTGATTTATTCGCACTTCCAATTTTACTATCTAAAATTATTTTTATCATTTTTTATGTATTGCACTTTATCATCCTTTTACATAATAACTCATGCTTCCACTAAGCAATGCCATTTCATATTTTTAATTTGGGCAACTCTGTTTATTTTCTTGAAGTTAAAGGAGGGCAATTTTTCTTGAAGAGTAATAAAGGTGGTCATTAGGCATTTTTTTTCAATTAAATCACTGTAGCTCTTCTTCAAGGCGCAGTTGAATAGATGCTGATTGTTTCTTTTTTGGAATCATAATTCTTTTAAGTATCAGGAAACTTGCCAAAACTATAATTAGATCATAAACGGTTAGAAAATATTAATCATAAATGGTTAGAAAATATCTTACTTTGAGCTTCATGGCAAATCTGGTGCACGAATAATTCAAGTAACATTCAGTTAATTTTCCCGCTAATAATAAAATTTTTCCGTAAAGCTAAATGAAAAATTAACAAGCGGGAATGAGATGAAAGGAAACGAACTTTTGTTTTTAGTACTTTTGTATCTTTATTACTTTTATTCCGGATTAGCTTTAATTCTTCCTCAAATTTCTGGATAACTGGGCTGGCCACCCGTTTCGTCATATTGTCAATATTTGCTTCTAATTCACATAAACTAGCCATTCCAATATTAAATGTCTCTTCCGCCTCCAACTCGATTTTCTTCCTGAAATTTTTTGAAGTAAAATCAAAAACCATTACGGTGTTTATAGACATCATATTGGTCCTTTTGATAGCAAGTGAACATTTTCATCAATCTTCTTTAGCTTTGAATATTTAAAAATTCGCTTTCTCACCTTTTCAGCATACGTTCTTCAACCGTTTTTATGTTTTTAACCTGTTCATCGACACCATATTGGTCTTTCTGAATTAGTTTTACTTCCGGATGCTGCTTATTTCTGGAATTAAAACCACCTTTCTTACATGATATTAAATAAAATTGTAATCTCTTGTCAAAACAAAAATATTGCTTTATGTTATTCCAGAATATTCAATGTTTAATTTCCCTCAGCAATGCCGGTAGTATTATTGGTTTAGAACTCCAAACGCCTGTAATGTCTTGTAACAAAAACGTACAAGTATATGTTTTCATCCGTTTTAAACGATGATGTGTTCTCGCTGGGATTGTCTACTCTTTCTGCATCTTCCTTAAGCTCTTCACCAACACCTAGCTTTTCCCGCAGTTCTTTATATTCTTTCTGAAAATCCTTTTTCGCTTTTTAAAAATTAGTTGAATGAAATTAAGAGTTACCAGATATCAAGTTTTTGAATCAGATGGTATTATGACAGAGACAATATTAGTGTTCACAATTACTAGTAGCAAATGTTCAAAATATGATACGGTGAAAATAAGAAGGAAAAGAAAAAAACTAGAAGCAAGGTAAGCAAAGAGATCTGAAAATCATTATTTACTTCTAACTTTTTGCGTTTTCTTTTTTGACTTTCGTCGTTTCCCTCATTTGTCTCAATTTCCTTTCTTAATTCATCTAGTCTGAAATTTCAAAGATCGTCATTTGATGGGGTTTAGCAAAAATTCAAATTCAAGCTTTCTCTTTCAACCAATGTTTAACATAGCCAGTATGAATATTTGGAAGATTAAAGAACCTTGTTTAAACTAATTGAAGGTGCGAATTTCAGGCATTTCTTTGTTATTTACCTTTTTTCATCTTTATTCTTATTTTCTTGCAACTTCTGTATCTCTTGCTCTAGTTTTTCGTGATCTTCCTGAAAGTAGTGATCATTTAATATTAAAAATACCGTTACAGGATCATACTTTATAATAAAACAATGTCTTACATCTTGCCTAATATTAGTCATTTGTATTCTTCAAGACCTTATGATCCTTATTACCTAGATTTTTAGCACTCTTTCGAATATTACTGCGATGCATTATTATTACATTACTGTTGCGCTTAATTGACTAGTTAATATCATTCTTCAAAATGAAATGAGTTATAGTTTAAAGTTCACAAGATATGAATGTTCGCGAACCTTCAAACGTACACATTTCCGCTGTTGCTGTGGGTTTCCTTGTGAAAGCCTTTGAATTTCGCTTGATATTCGTTGAAGCTCCTTTTGCTTTTGTTCGAGTAATTTCATGAGTAAATGCTAGCGCGTCACCGCTTTTAACAACGCGAAGAATGTAGAAATGAATGAAAATGCTACAAGCACATGTATTTAATCGTTGTTAGTTCCACTATCTTCGGGTCGAGGAGAAAGTTTGCATATTTGCGAGTTTTGTATGTCAGTCACATTCGTTGCTTTTTGATAATTATTAAGCAAGGTACTGGGCGACTTCAAAGAATTTTTAGTTTATAAATTGCGAATTTTTAACTGAGAATTACTCCAAATTTTTACATTCAACAACTGGATTTTTTAGCGACCCAAGGTTTTATGTTGTTAATAATTTGCATTTTTCAATACATATCATTTATTCTCTTCATGTATAGAACTGCTCAATGAGGTGATTCGACCTTTACGACGAAGCGATAAGGGTGGTGGATGGAATGTATTGGTGGTGGATCGGTTGGCGATGCGCATGCTTAGTGCGTGTTGCAAGATGCACAATATTATGGATGAAGGTATTACAATTGTTGAGGATATCAACAAACGTCGAGAACCATTGCCTGTAAGTCTTGGCATTTAATCTAATGAAATAGCATTCTAGAAAAGAAATGAAAACACTGTTGCATGTGATTTTATAGAAATTAGACTAGCAGAGTTTTGTTTAATTTTAGAGTCTTGATGCCATTTATTTGATTGCTCCAACGAAGGATTCTGTTGAGAAATTGATCGCAGATTTTACCTACAGTCGAAATCAGTATCGATGTGCACACGTATTTTTTACTGAAGGTATGATTATGTTTTATGAATTATCTCAAGATGAAGGGCTAAATCAGTTGAATGAATTGGAAATATTGACATTTATCTGGAACTAATGTTGTTGCGACGGTAGGAGTGGAGTGAATAAAGTGGTATCTAATGATTAAAAATTTTGTAAGACTTCATTTTTTTGAGATAGCTGCTTGAACGGACAAGTAATTCTTCAAAATAACCATAAAGAATTTCAGTTTTATTATTTAATTTCATATTTATTACTTAAGTCTGAAGAGAGCAGATAAATTTTAGCATGTCCTGACCAACTCTTTTCAACATTATCAAAAAGCCGTGCGGCGAAGTGTATTAAAACTCTGAAGGAAATAAATATCGCTTTCACACCATATGAATCACAGGTGAGCATTTCTTATCATAAATTTGTGTGATATCAACACAATCCCGTGACATCCCTTCAGTGCATTATTCTTCGGCAAAAATGTTAACCAATAGATACCGTTTGCGTTTCCCTATATTATATCTTGTAATAGTGGAGATAGTATTTATTGCCCTGATAATTCTGTGATGAAATAGTTTTCTAGGTTTAAGTGCTTCTTTGTGAATGTCGAAGTTTTTAAATCTCTATTTTTCTCGTTTTTCTGGTGTAAAATTTGAAAAACTACTTGTCTATTGATAAAAATATTTTAGGTATATTCGCTGGATTCACCCGACACATTCTTTCTGTATTACAATGCACAAAAACAGGGTGGTTTAACGACCAATTTAGAACGCATTGCAGAACAGATTGCTACTGTTTGCGCAACTCTCGGGGAATATCCACTTTTAAGGTACAATTAGTTAATAGTAGTTAACTCAGATTTTGGGTCATTTGCAATTTTTGAAAATATCGGGGCATGTTTTTCCTTTTGAACTGAAACTCGAAATACTATATTGTTGGAATTGGAGAAAAACAATGATTGAATCCGTGTAAAAAATCAAGAAATTTAAGTTTTTCTGCCTTTTCTGAATATTTCGTTTTCAGATATCGAGCAGATTTTGAACGAAATGTTGAGTTGTCGCATTTAGTGCAGCAAAAACTTGATGCTTATAAAGCAGATGATCCCTCCATGGGAGAAGGTGCAGACAAGGCTCGTAGTCAATTAGTGATTCTCGATCGAGGCTTTGATGGCATTAGTCCATTGCTTCACGAACTAACCTTACAGGCCATGGCGTATGATCTTTTGGATATAGACAACGACGTTTACCGGTTAGTCTATGGATTCATACATGGTCTTCGATGTCACCTATAATAATTTTGTAGAAAATATTCTCTCAGTTTACCTTCTAGACAATTATTTTGGTTTCAAAAGACTGTTTTTAGATCCATGGATATGAGACTTGAATCTTATCTTGATATTTCAGTTACGAAACTGGTGGCCATGATAACATTGACAAAGAGGTACTACTTGATGAAAACGATGATCTCTGGGTTGAAAATCGCCACAAACATATTGCTGTTGTTTCGCAAGAAGTTACAAAAGGATTAAAAAAATTTTCCGAAAGCAATGCTGGCATGAAAGCTGATGCAAAAAGCATCAAAGGTTTATTTCTTCTTCTTACATGTTTTTTTCTTGCTCAAGATATAAATTTATATTTCTGGATACCCATCTGAAACTTATTATTCTCATTGAAAGTCATTTTATTCTGAACTTATATTCAGATCTGTCAATGATGATTAAGAAAATGCCACAGTACCAAAAAGAATTGAACAAATTTAACACCCATTTTCATTTGGCAGAAGAATGTATGCGTAAGTATCAACAGGGGATCGATAAACTTTGCAAAGTGGAACAGGTTTGTGAGCGTGGTATATGTTGAAGCTTCAACGCAAACGTCTATGTTCACATTACTTATAAGTTTATGTAAGACTATTTGTAGGACCTGGCAATGCAGGTTGATGCAGAAGGTGAGCGAGTAAAAGATCCCATGAAATTAATGGTACCATTACTGATTGACCCAGCAGTTGAACCATCTGACCGTCTTCGGCTTATTTTACTTTATATTTTATCGAAAAACGGTTCGATTTTTAAATACTCCATTATCAAGCGCTTTCATTGCTGTTTCTTGAAGAATTAACCTGGTTTTAGAAACTTTGAATACAAAACAAGACAAATGCAAAGTTTTAGTTTTTATATTTTATATGTTTGAGGCATTACCGAGGAAAATTTGGATAAACTTCTTCAACATGCGAATATTGACGTCACGGAGAAAGATACACTGGCGAATGCAATGTTTTTGGGTTTAAATATAGTTAAAGACGTGAGTTACAGAATGTATGAACTTTTCATTCACCCTATTCGTACATGCATTTAATCGATTTTCCCCGAATTTCCTATAGTTCTTGAAATTTTAGCAGGGACGTAAGCGATTTTGGACACCGAATCGTAAAGAACGTGCCAACGAACAGTTTTACCAATCATCTCGTTGGGTTCCAGTTTTGAAAGATATTTTGGAAGATGCAATAGATGATAGACTTGATATGAAGCATTTTCCATTTCTAGCTGGGCGACAAGCTACTCCAACCTATCGCCCACCAACCAGGTTTTTTATTCACTTTTTCAAGCGTCTTAATATTTGTTCCTTTGAACTATTCAAAACTCTTAAGTTCATTCATTCGGAAAACTCGCAATCTTCATTTTTTCAGTTTCTATTTTTCTCTTAATTGAATGATTAAAGACTTTTATCTTCACTGTTTTATCTATACATTAATTGTTCATTTAGTGCTCGATATGGTCAATGGCATAAAGAACGTGGACATCAGATATCGTGCCGTTCAGGACCTCGCTTAATTGTTTTTGTAGTGGGTGGGGTAACATATTCAGAAATGAGAGTTGCTTATGAAGTCACAAAAGATAAGAAACCATGGGAAGTTATCATTGGTAGGTTCAAATGATATTTTGCTTTCAATTAATTCTTAGATTATAAGCTGTTCACTAGTTAAAAATTATCCTCTTTTTCAGGATCAGATCAGTTGATAAATCCGGCAGCCTTTTTGGAAAATCTTCGGGGACTTAACAAACATCGAGACAACTGAAAAGTCGACTCTTATGAATAATCATCTGTAGCTGTGAATTTCTACTGCAGCGCAGAAGATTTTGTTCTAAATTTCGTTTTTTACGTTTTTGTGCAAGGTATCCAGAATAAGGTTATTTCAAGAAAAATATTTCAAGAAAATGAGACTTGAGACGAAGTTTTTCCTCTTATGTAGATGGAAGAATAAAATACCATAGCACTTATGGAAGATCGGAATTTTGAAAGAAAGAGCAGTTCTAAGAAGTGAATTGTTAAAAGATTTCGGTGCAGATCTCCATTCCTGTAAGTAAATCTGCAACATATTCATGTGATTGATTACATGCCGATAAAGTAATGAATTCATTGCTTTGGGAAATGGTTCAACCACAACATATTATGTTCATCAGATTTTACATGACATCATGAAATTTGGTTCAAGTTCAAGTTTGATAAGTTTAAGTACCTTGGAATTGTTCTAGACTAGTTTCTTTGTCAAGAAAAAATTAAAAACTTTGTGCACTACTACCAAGGCAATCAAAGCTCAACCATTTATCAGTTTTAAATTGCTTAAGGGGTTTAAAAACTATGGTTAGCGATGATTATGCTCTGTATTCTACTGCATTTCGCGATATTTCCAAATCTCCTTGTAATAAATCCCAGTTGCGTTTTGATTTTGCACTTATTATCATGTGTTGTCCACATTATCAACTTTTCTAAATATCATTTATGTGTATTTATTGTAACTTGCATTGTTGTAGTGATTGTGACAAACCCATTTCTTTTTTATTGTTTGTATTTATTCGCTCCCATGCGAGATTGAGGGTGGAAGTCGTTATTTATTCCTCCTTGTTAAAACAGTATTTTTTCGATCTTTACCCTCGAATAAGTTAGACTTAGTGGCCATTTGAAATTAAAGTTTCTCCACGTAGCTCTAGAAATTCATCATTTTATGACAGTATTGACAAAATGTGAACGTTTACTCTTAATAATCATCAATTCTTCGAGAATATAGAGCTTTCCGAATATTTGTCTTCTTGAAGAAATGGGAGAGTCGTTGTCTGATGAAGTATATATTATCTTGAAAACATTCCAGTGATTTACCATGCTTTATTTATCTAGTCATAAAGTATTATACACGCTACCGAAGTTCGACTTTTTAATTTCTCTCAAGAGATTCTGCCTTGAGGAATTATTTTAGAAACATTTATACACTATGAACATCTGCTATGCATGATTTAACAGTTTCGCTGATATTGGATATATCTCAACAATAAGTATGTATGGAACAGTTGAAGCTGTTAAGCTGTTAAGAAGATGGAGTATGATTTTCTATTATGTGATAGAAAGCTTATTTCCCCAACAATAGTTTTCCGTTTGCTGTGAAGTCATAGAAAATGTAGATTAAATAGAGAGCAGGGTGGGAACAAAGTTACTAGTTCGCCTCGGCCGTAAACGGTGCTATCATATATTCAGGATATGATGTGCCGTCTTTATTTTTGCTTTCCGTAAAAAATTTTTTTTTGAGAAAACTTTCCTTGCATATCAGGCACTTCATTTCAATAATGAGTACTCCTTTCAACTATATTTTATCTGAGGAAATTAAGATCAGTGTGCCCTTCGATATTATGCTTGAACTGCGAAAACCAGCTTTTCAATGACTGATCTAAATGCATGCATTTAGTCTTAGAAAAGCTATAGTTCGTCTTTATTTCCTATAAAATAACTCTGAGCAAAAAACGATGAAGGTCTTGGAACGCTTGATGCATACTTCCTCTGCCGATATATAAATGCGCTCAAAGTGGATACACAATTGCCAATAAAATGATCCGCTATTGACATAATCGCCAAATTTACATGTAAATTTTCAGGATAACGGCGCCGTACAACAATCTGAAAGAGCTGTAAATTTTTCCATTGTTTTTTTGTTGGATGTCACACATTACAAAATACATTACAAAATCTTACATTCCCGCAAACGATGATATTAGTCTGCCATCAAAAAGTCTAAAACTATAATTTAACTTCTTCCCATAGAAATATTGTAGCTGGCTGTCACCGAAGCACTGTAATCTTAACAAAAAGGATCAAACAAGACCTACATATTCATAATTTTACTCCTAGAAAAACATTATACCCGTAAAGGAGCCAGTTTTTGTTTTAATTCATCGATATAGTGATTTCGGTCACTTGATACGAACACTGATCGTACTTTCAACTTTAATGCTTTCTCCGTAACCTCAAACTTTCCAAAATCATTATTATAAAATAAAAAATGCGAACAGACGATATTTCAAGAGAAGTGTATTAAATCAGAGAATTAGCAAAAGTTTGCATACAAATTTGAGATGTATTATTCACTATACTTACGCGCTTTTTTAAGCATAAAGTTACCGAAACAATCAAAATTTCACGTCTTTGATAATTGTTTCCAATGAAGGTAGACACATTTCGGCAGTTAATTTACCGTTGTTACCAGTACAAATTGCTGAACCAAATAATTTGTCAGTTTCATTTTTGTGTACCATTTGACATAAATTTTCCTGCAAACAAGCAAATTAGCTGGACTTTTCTCTTGAATTCTTACATAAATAATTTACAACAAAATATCGTATAAGGCTTAAGAGTGCTGAAGTTAAACCCTGTATTTGTAGAATTTTACATCTAAGACGCTTCCTTAACTTTGATGGAATCCGTATTATTTCTTAAGCCAAATGGAGTTCTAAAATATGATGCTGGAATCCGGTGTTGTAAGACTTACCCAGTCTACATCATTCCGCAAGTGAATACCAATAAATGGTCTTTCAAGTGATTCTGTTACATATTTATTAGCCTTTGTCACAATTGCTTTTGACCAATGAAGATATCTCTGCAAGTGGTGATGATCAATTCGTGCTGGAAACGCTGCCGGAGCAGAAATGAATGACAAAACTGGATATCGATCAGCTGGAAACCTGAAAAAATGAAGATTCCAATAAAAATAACTTATAAGTGCTGCAACAGATTTTATTACAACAGCAAATCACTTCCATAAAAAAATAAAAGTATTGTTCTTGCATAAAAAATATTGTTGTTTTCGTTCAAATTAATAATACCTCATTCTCTAACAACTTATTTGCATCTCATTTTACTTTAGTAATAATTTTACTTTTTACTGGAGTTACAGTGCCTGACGACTCCCTTATAACTCTTGAAACGGAATCTTCTGTCATTCGTAGTCTATCCCTATTGTACTTTTTTTTTTTGAAGTACTAATGAAATATTGAACTTACTGATAATTCATACACGATGCTTACTTTTCGTCCCACTTTTTCTGAACGCTTGCCAAGTTAATGAAATGAGCCTCATGAAAATCTGAAGCATAATAAATATCCCCAACAAAACTTATATTCGAATAATCCCAAAATGCGCTAAAAGGATTTCCCTCTTTGGCATGACATCCAGACGATTTCTTTGCATCATAAATACTTTGACGCGGTTGCCAACAAAATGCTGAAGCCTTACAAATTTTAAACGGTGAAATACACTGATCATTTTAAACAAATATAGTAAAATGACGAGAACCAACTGGAGATAACAGAAGATTCAAAAATTCAAAAGATTGCACATTTAGAATGCTGCAAAAAAATAAAAAAACGATACACCCAGAATCCCACCTTTCCTTTTATTCAGTGGCCAAACATTTGGTGCGATCTCCTTGATAAAATCACGCATAACAATCATTTTATGAAAGTTACGTAATGGTTCAACCAAAAAATATTTGTCAAAATCAACCATCACCTAAACAAAGGCTTTCCCGAACTAATTTTCAAAAGCAAAATACAAAATCATGTCCAAGATTACAGTTGCACTTCACAATTTCATAGAACTGCTGACTGAGTGTTGAGAGTAAGGACTACGGATATTTTAAAATGTGATGTATAACCATCTAATAACGAATTGAATACATGGAAGTTAGAAAGTGTAATGTTATGATGTAGCGAAAGAATTTAAAAAATATAGAGTAAAATTGTAAAATTTAACTAGGACAAGAAAAGTTGCAACATAAAACTTACAGCTTGTCTTTTTTCAGGATAGTATTCAACGAATGGAGGTAAAACTAAAGTTCTGTTGAGAGCTTTCGCAAATGCCAACATGCCGAGAAAATGCTCCATCTGATTACCAAATCTACCCATGCATGGGCAGTACATTACATATCCGGCAGCAGAAGTCAAATCATCAGCCCATAATAAAGTGATAAAGAAAAGGAGTGAAAGAAGTGACCAGGACATTCTAATCTCGACTGAAAAGATTCCTGAACAAATAAAGCTAGCTTTGCTGGACAAATAATAAACTATGCAAAAATATGCATTTCAAGCAGCCAGAATAGAGCAATGTTTGCGTATCCTAGACTGTACTCTTCTTTCCTCATATGTTAACTTCAAAATGTTCGAAGATGACTTTTGAGGAGAGCTACTAGGTACAATAGTGATGGTCCTTCCTAATTTATTATGAAAAAGTGACGAAATGACGATAGAAAATCTTTATCAATAATTAATTACTCGTATGGCTGGCATTAAAATACAATTCAGAATAAAAACACTAAAAAATATCACCTAAAAATATCACCTAAGTCAAAAACCATCATATTCAGTAAGCAAGAAAGTTCATTCTGAGTTTGGGGTTACCGACTGATATAAGCTGATATTTCTCTTAAAAATTTAATCGAATCTTCAATTTTTCCTATTTTGATTAGTCTTTACAATATAATGTGATTTGAGAAGTTAAAAACAAAGAAAGCATGAAGAAAGAAATGCACAGTGATAAACAAAGAACAACTACAGCAGAATGAATAAAAGAACAATAAAGAACAATATTATGGACAATATAAAAATCGCCATCCACTGCCTCTTATCTGAAATTCCTAGAATTCAATGCAATTTAATCCCAATCTTTGCAATCCTACTAAATAGTACATTTATTCTTTTTCTAACAATTGTTAGACTGAAGAAATATATAATTAAAGTGTGCATAATATATATGCACTTCATTATTCAAAGGATTTGAAATAAAAAATGATCCAAACAAACCATCATTCATATTAGTCAATTTAGCAATTTTCTTCACCATTTCATCCAGCTTCATCCCTGTCCGTTCCATATCTGTAGTCAAATCATCCAACATTCTAAAGAAAAATAAAGAAATTGGTACTTTTATAATAAATAGCGTTCATGCTTGCAAAGAGAAGAGAATTACATTACATTGATTGCTCTTCAAGCTCCGTCCCAATTCGACCACTCATATTTTTTAGCAGTTGCACTGAATCGCCCACTTTTTCCAGGTCTCTATCCTGTTCAGTCAATATTATCTGAAAATAGTAATATCGTGAGTTATTTATTATTCGGATAAAAATAAGCATCAGGCAAGGAAGCATTCTAAATAATCTACTATCACAAAAAGATTTCAAGAAAGAATTCACGAATATTAATAACAAAGATTTTTAATACTTCATGCATTGATGCCTTTTTTAAGTGGAAAAAGTTTCTGATAAAACTTGTGCAAGATTCGTGAACAAACCTGTTGCTTTTGTAAAGTGTCAGCAAAGAATTCTGCTGAAGACGAAGGGAAGTCATCCAGTCGCGTGTATCGATAATGGCTATCAGTTATGGAAGTCATCTGCAAAAAAATATGTCAGTACAATTATAAACTGTTATTGACAACATCAACCCAAATCAAATTGCTCAAAATATAATTAAAAAAACGGCCCCCTCTCTCAACATTTTGGCTTAAAACAAGCATGAAATTATTTTATTAAAAACATTCAAAAGTTGAAACGATTTAACCTATAATCAACCCAAAAAATGAAATGAAATATAATATGAGGGAACATCAAAATCCTGTGAAATTTACCAGAACCGCTAAGAACCATGACCTTAGGAAGTACCTTGACGGAAGGGTCTTGAATAAAATCATAATATTAAAAAATTCTGCTGATTGCTGCAAAAATCGTTGCTTTAAGCTATTACACTACTGCTTAGTCAGATGATTGAGCGAATGAACTTTCAATATCGTACGTTGTTTTGAATTTCATTTAACAACTACTAACGTTCTCGATTGAAAATATCTGAGAGGATTTCGATTCAACGGTACTAGCTCAAGGCTGTTACTACACAGTTTGTTGTTTCAAGTTTTGATTTAGTAAAAGAGTAGTACTCAAAGAATCTTTATCAACATTTTATCAGCATTCTTAGCAAATGTATTGAATCAATTATGAACAACTTACTTCAGTAATTTTCTTCTATTTTCTGATAAGTAAATATGCAGAGTGCATCAGTATGCTCGGTCAAAATTTCATGCAATTTTCTGAAAAGAAACTTCCAATTAGTCCTTCAAACTTTCTATAAGGTACGTAATTTAGCGCATGATGCAAAAAAAAAACCAATAAATTCTTTATTACAGGGATGTTTCGATAGAGATACTAACCACTTCAATACTTCATCTTCAAGCTATAAATGCCTAACAATTAGCTAAACAGCAAAATTGATCCTTTATGAAGATGGGAAAAAGGAAGGAAAAGAAAACGAAAATTACCAATTATTTGCGAACTTTATAAACTTCGCTAGCTGTCACGAAAGATAAAATGAAGCTTTCGTTCATAAATCTAACATCATTCATGAGATACATCAAGGACAAGGTAAAACCAACTCGATAGATAGCCATACAAAAGCCTTTTTCGTATTTCGATTTTCAAGTGGAAACATCCGTATAAACATAACCCAATCAAATAATGAAGAATATGCAGCTGTAAAATCGATCATATCCCATGAGCTCATGTTTGATAATAACGAATTGATAACTCTGGCACTAACAAATTAACAACTCCTGAAAAACACAGCTTGGACAGTATCGCTACTGGATGAGAGAGACCTTAATGAAGGCCCTAAGAATGAAATGCAATACACAAATCTCATCAATTTATCTATGTCAATTACTTTTCTCTATTAAAATGAGAATTTTTTTCGCAAGCTATTTTATCATATTTAAGAAAGCATAAATATTAGTTAATCGGCTTCAAGGGTAGCCTTTGACCTCAAGAAAAGTTTAGCTTACTCAATAAGATCTAATTCTTATTAACAGAAAATAAAACAATGATATTATCATCTAATAGATGATAATATCATTGTTTTATCTTCTGTTAATTATTAGACAGAATTGTTTAATTACTACGCAAATTTTTCATAGCGATTAATTCATTCATAGAAAATTATTTTTCTATTGTCTTTTAAAGAATTCTTTTGCAGTAATTGAATTAATTTACTTACTTTTAATGCTTAGATTGAAAAGTAACAATGATGAATTCAAAAAGCTACCTTAATCATACCATTTTATATATTAGGTCATTTTATTTATTGCTTAGGTCATTAAAGGTAAGCTAAAGGTAAGAATAGGCTTTTTAAATAAACGATGCTAAAGTTATTCAATGCATATTACTATGGCAACATAAGATGCTAAAGCCTTAAGCTAAATTATAAATCTTTCTCTTTCATCTTTCTCCTTTTTAATCTTTTACGTATTTATCATATATTTCTAAGCGTATCATTACAGTTACGTATAATTGTTATTTACACGTGATTTTCTCATTCTTTTTTTACATACATTTAATCCAATTTTTGATATTTGTTATACGTGAAAAGCTCACGTGAATGATATAAGCATGGAAACAATGGGAGAATTTTCAAATACTTATAGCATTACGTGTAGCATTATAACTGAATTACGTATAGCATTATAATTGACACGTACGTAATTGCTAGGCTTCATTGAATTCTATTCATTATATATGTATTTTTGATATTAGTATGATCGAAATAAAAATAGAAATTTTATATAAATAAGCCATAAATATATCCTGAAATTGACCTTCCTATAAGTGATAATCAATTTTTCTTCATATTAACAAAAGAAACTTATTTCGATTTTCCAAATAAATCAAAAGGTTATATGAAAATTCATTTGGTTACCTAAACAAGTCTAAGAGGTCATATAACAAGATTGGCTTTGAATATTACCAAAATTAGAATCTATCGAACTTTTGAGATCTTTTCAAGCATTTAATCAATTTGTTAAAATTTTTTTAATTGAAATTTTTTTCATAGAAAATGGAATCTATCGTACTTTTGAGATTTTCTCAATAAATTAATTAATTTGTTGAAATTTCTTTTAAATTAATTTTTTAATTTAATTGAAATTTTTGTTCTTACACATGCTTTAAATCTTCTGAGTAATCAATAATCAATAATTAGTAATCAATTGATTAATTTTACATTAATCAATCGTTCAATATGAAATTTTCTTCAGATTTGATGGCAACAGATTTACAACTGATTGTTGACAGTCTAAATGATGAACCATTTAAAATGAATTTAAATTTGATCAATTTTGATACGATATCAAATGAGCAATTGCTACAAATTCTAAGTGATGTATTGTTATGGATCGAAGGATCAGATACAGTTGATATTCGTGAAGAAGATGCTGATAATACAGCATTTCGTATATTCAATTCTCTCGGTATCCTCAAATATCGTCCACCAAATGATATCGAAAAATTGTAAGATAAATGAAATAATTTACGTAAACTTTTGTAAATTATAAATTCATTAAATTATTTCATCAAAATTAATCATTCCATCAAAATTAAACATCATAAATTCATTGAAGTATTCCCATAAAATAATTGAAATTTAATAAAACAATTAAAATTTAAAATAATTGAATAATTGAAATTTAATAAAATAATTAAAATTTGGAATAATTAAATGATTGAAATTTAATAAAATAATTAAAATTTGGAATAATTGAAATAAAATAAAAAAATAATTAAAAAATAATTGAATAATTAAAATTTATAAGTAATTGAATAATTAAAATTTATTAAGAAATAAAATTATTCGCACTGATTAATATATATGATTATATATCACACATATGATTTATATATATATATGATTATCATTATGGAAAAACAATTTTGTAATATAACATTAATAGAATTACTTCAATGAATTTATAATGTCTAAAAATTTATGCAAATTATTTATCGTGCAATTTTGTGATATTCTAATAATACACTGTAAAATAATACTATTACTAAATTCTCCATGAAAAAATTTTTTGCAAAATTCCTCTTGAAAAATTAAATTTTCAAAAATTTCAAATTCATTATATCATAAGTTATTTGTATTAATTATATCGAAGGAAAAAGTTTTACGAAAGACTTATTAAAATTTAGTAAGTATCTAATGAATAAATTTTTTACCCATTCTAAATTTTAAATTCATAATAATTAATTAAGGATAAGTTATATTATCACATTTAAAAAATTTTATAAAAGATAGATTATTATCACAAATGAGATAAATATTTTAATATAGTTTTGTATAAATTAAATTAATTAATGGCTATTTTAATTTAACTTTTTCAAAGTATTTGTCTCGGTAATTATCTCATTTGTGATAATAATTTATCTTTTTAAAAATTTATGATAATTATTTATTTTATCTTTATCAAAGTATTTATCTCATTTGTGATAATAATTTATCTTTTTAAAAAATTTATGATAATTATTTATTTTATCTTTATCAAAGTATTTATCTCATTTGTGATAATAATTTATCTTTTTAAAAAATTTATGATAATTATTTATTTTATCTTTATCAAAGTATTTATCTCATTTGTGATAATAATTTATCTTTTTAAAAAATTTATGATAATTATTTATTTTATCTTTATCAAAGTATTTATCTCATTTGTGATAATAATTTATCTTTTTAAAAAATTTATGATAATTATTTATTTTATCTTTATCAAAGTATTTATCTCATTTGTGATAATAATTTATCTTTTTAAAAAATTTATGATAATTATTTATTTTATCTTTATCAAAGTATTTATCTCATTTGTGATAATAATTTATCTTTTTAAAAAATTTATGATAATTATTTATTTTATCTTTATCAAAGTATTTATCTCATTTGTGATAATAATTTATCTTTTTAAAAAATTTATGATAATTATTTATTTTATCTTTATCAAAGTATTTATCTCATTTGTGAAAATAATTTATCTTTTTAAAAAATTTATGATAATTATTTAACGTTTAAATGCGATAATATAATTTATCTTTTATTAATCTTATTGTTTTGTATAAATTATTATCATAGTTTTGTGTAAATTAAATTAATTAATGGCTATTTTGCAAAAACAAAAAAATAGACAACAATGGCGACGTAATATTGTGGAAGGTGAAAAAACGGATATTTGTTCGATATTAGAATGGATTTTTAAAAATGTGGATGCATTAAAAGAGCGAGCATATTTAGCGAAATATCTTACAAAGATCGATATACCAGGTATTTTAATCGGATCCTTTCTATCGTTATGCAATCATTATCATTCTTATCATTCAAAATAATTATCAATCATTCTTATCATATTATTGAACAAATTTTCATAGCTTAAACTGAATCATTCATTATTACCAATATAATATGTATTTATTTTCTTATTTTTTCTTATCATTTTGCAATCATTATCATTCTTATCATTCAAAATAATTATCAATTATTCTTATCATTCTTATCTTATCATATTATTAAATAAATTTTCATAGCTTACACTGAATCATTCATTATTGTTAAAATAATATGTATTTAATTTGTTCCCTATTAAAAAAATTAATTTGCAAACAATTAAATACTGTATTTCTTAGCGAAGTTAATTGAAATATTTAATTAAAATAACTCATTAGCAAAATGAATTTTAAAATTAAATTTAAATAAAGAATGAATGAAATTCAATTTATCATCTCTCTATCATTATGCATTCTGATCGTTTTTATCATTTCATAAATGCGTTATCATTAAATTGATCGTTTTTATCATTTCTAGGTGCATTTCAAGATCCAGAATCAATGGAATTATCAAATCAAATTTCAACTTTAATGGAAGAATTTAAAGTAAGGCATTTATTTATTTAGCTAAATTAATTACTATAAAATTATCTTCACTTCCCTAAATCCATTCTTCGTATAAAAAGTATCCCAAAATTAAAAATTATTTTTATTAATATAAAAAATTGTAAGACTAAAAAGGAATAGAAGAATTATTACTAATTAAGAATTAAGAAGAAGAAATATATTGAAATAAAATAAAGCCTAAAATTGCTATCTTTTAGAAAGTACATTCACAAGTTATAGAAGCTCGTAAAGATTCATTAATGATGGAAAATATACGAGCTGATCTAAACTCTATGAAAATTGAGAAAGAACAATTGAGTAAACGTATTGATAAAATTGAGCGTAAACTACATGGCGTAGCAAATCTTCAACATTTACTACGACTTGCCGAAAAATGTCGTATGGAAAATGAACGATTGGAAGAAATTGGACATCTTAAAATGGAGCAAAAAAATTTGGTATAATATCGTAATTTTATTTATTAAAATTTTGTTTTGATTTATTTAAAAGATTAGCGTCTCTTATAAATTAGAAGTATTACTATGGAATTGTTACATAATGTTAGTTTATTTTGGTTTATAAGGATGGCTCCCATACAGGCATTATAACATATGATCATTTAATCGTGTATGGGTTAAGT